TTAACCGGTTAACGCCCAGCGTCATATATTTAGGACAGTTCCTTTTTTCAAAGACATTCATTGTAGTGGGAAACTTTTTTCAGTATTTTCATTTATCTGGGTGAATTAAAAGATTCTCAGATACCATGATGATTTAGTTATTTCTGATTAGATCTAGAATTATAAGGAACAAGTACTTTTTGATCTATCAATGGCTTTTTGAATGCTCTAACTGTAGAAAAACCAATTAATTTCGATAATATATTTTACCACTTTTTCCATAAAACCACTTTTTATATCATTTCAATATGTAAATTGGGACAAACGGGTTAATTACTTTCAAAAATGAATTTGGGCTCGAGAGCACAACTGGTTCACATTTTAAATATTCTGCGCAGACAACTTATAGAAATATATTGATGACTTTCTGATGTAGGAGGTGATGGTAAGGAGGCTACAAGAGGCCTTAGACCAGCACCTCTTTTGTCAGATAGCCTTCACACGGTTTTTTATAAGTAGAGTGTACAGACTATTTAAAAAGTGAACCGGTTGGGCGGATGAACCCAAATTCTATTTAAAAAGAGCATGGGAGAAATTTATCATATATATTTGAGAATTGAATCGATAGTGGTAGACAAGTAAATAAGACAAGCCAATCATATTCAGAAATTAAACAAATTTTTAGACATATATTTCATACCACTTTCTTATTTTCACTAGAGTTTCCATTAAAGGGATCCTTCGTAAACTGGTTTACCTTCTTAGTGGTCTGATCGGACTACCTGTAGAAGCTTTCAGTGGTAGGAGGCGTTGCTTAGGCACAAAGTCATTTTATTCTGTGCAGTTTAGTTCAACATAATAGCCTCCAAATATTATATGACATGAGATTAAGCAATAATTTTTGTCTTGTAAACTTTTTAGTGGTAGTTTTTTTAACAGCTTGAAAATCAGTCGAATGCAAAGGGTTGAATCTAGTGAAACACATTTAATTTCTGATTCCATTGGGATAAATTTTAAGCAAAATAATTTTGCTCAGTTGCAATTACACTACCATTCACAAACTTTTTTTAATTTTAGGTTCCTATAAAAATGCGTTTCATGTTTTCGCTAAAGAGATTAGCAATTTATCAATAATACGAAAAATGTATTGCCTATATTTGAGAATCATTTTAATTACAAATATTTGACTGTACACCGTCTTGCATAAAACATATTATTGAATTTAATATAACTTATTTTTTACTCTTAAAGTTGAAAATATATATTGTTATTATATATTTTCTATAATATACATTTTATAATATTTTTTTTTAAAGTTTGTTTCGAGATAAAAATTATTTTCAGTCACATAACATTTTTTTAAGCATCCTGGTGACTTTCTATGCTCTTTGTATCGATATCTAGAACCACCTATCTCCTAAGAAATATTATTGTTTCTAACTTTCTCCTTTTATCACTTTCATATTTTTCAACTATCGAACTCAACCAGATATTTAATGGAACAAATTTCTTTGAAGTTTCCGATTAACTAATAAATATTCACCTAAGAAAAATAAAAGACGATCGAAATAAAAATGCCGGAATATACAAAAGTGATTATGAGAACTGTGTTTTTCATTTTATTCTTCTGAATTTTATTCCAGATATTGATAAGTGCCCATTCATGGATATCAAATGCACAAAACCGTTTGAAGAATGCAAAATGGGGGCTTGTGCATGCATGGAGAATTTCAAGAGGAATGACAAACAAGATTGTATTCGTAAGTACGATTTAGACTTATGGATATTTATATGCTTAAATATAAAAGGTCCTGAAAACTTAAAAGCGTGAAGACCATTGCAATTTTCATGTGCACTTTTTTCAGTAGTTGTTTATATTGATTTCAATTGTTGCTTATATTGTTTTCAATAATTAAGAAACCGCTTTCATTCAATTCCTTGCTGAAAAACTGTTATTACCAAGTCGCGATTTTCCGATCCAGTGACGTTTAACGATCCGCTCTCATGTATGGTATTTTTTTTAAATAAATAAAAAAAATAGTTCAGGTAAAAAAAAAATGAAAGCTTATGTTATAATTGCGAGCAGCTGCAAAAATCTAATCCATAAAAAAAAAATCTCCAGAAAAGAGAACGAGTCGTCAAAGGCCAATGGATCGTAAGTTAGCTGTCCGGTCACCTTGTGGTTAGTAATTAGCTTTTTAGTTCTTTCTTCTGTAATGGCATTGTATAGAAGAATTTTAAGGTAATGGCTACAAGCTTTTTAAACCATTCCAAATTACTCTAACGTGGGATCCCTGTTTAAGACTAATTTACTAAACGAACTTAAAATTTATTTAGAACTTTCGACCTCAAAACTCACCTATTCTTTGGTCATATCAGCTGAAGTGGTAAATCCTACGTTTTATGGTAACTAAAAAAACGTTTTTCCATAAGTAATGTATTTTAACTCATTCTAAAGGTTTGCTATTTCTGTTATGCCGTTATAAGAATGATATATTTTTAAATCTTTTTTTATTCTCATTATTGCTCTTTTTTCTCTGCTTTATAAAATGGAGCTCAATTTTACTCTATTTTGGTATTCTCACTAGTTTCAAATATCAATAGAAGGTAGTACCAAGAGTAGGTATTTTGATTAAACAAAACACCTATTTTCATTTTTTTATTTTATTTTATATTCTTAAAAACAGAGGAAGGTTTCACCATTAATAGGTATTTTTAAATCGCTCAAATGCTGGGCAAGGTTGCTATTTACCGTAACAAAACTATTTAAAGTAAGTAGGTAATTTTAGGACAAATTTCTAACCATTTTATACTTCTAATCAAATTTAAAACGACAACATAAACGAAGAGAACTTTAATTATGCAAAAGAAAATTTACCATCCTAAATAAGTTTATACTTGAAACGACATACATAAGTCAACCCGATACCGAGTTGTGAAGAAAACATGGCGTCATAAACAAATATCGTACAGTTTACAGTCACCATCAAAGTCTTGCGTGTTTTTACATAATTTTGCTACAGTTAGTTGCACCATGGAAGTATTTCTCGATCATACATCACAATTTATGGTTTTACTAAAATAAAATTATGTTTCATTTAACTCAACTTTGGGATAATGAGAAACTTTGCATCAAATACTGGTTAAAGATATACCGAGTGCTGCTTTTTCTTTCCTACAGTTAACGAAGAATTGGCTCACTTTGCATGACTTTTGACATTGATCATTTTCGATAAATCGAACATAAAGGATCTCTTTCTGTATTTCAAAACGGCCACTGATTATCCATTTCTTTATTAGTATTTAACCAGGCAGGAGACCAAGAATTTGCAATCTGTTCTTATTAATATCATTATTTAATCTGTATTATTCTACTTAAAATGTTTATTTGATGCGACATTCTTTTATTTAGCAATTCTATCTCTACATTATTTTAAGAAATAAAAAATTTAATACCCAGTTTACATTGCCTGCAATTTTTATTTTCAATATGTGTTGTTTACATTTTTTACGCGAAGAATCCTCCAATTCTGAACTAAACTAAACAAAACTCATTGGAGTGACAGCCCAAAGATGTCAAAGGCCCTCTGTACCCATCTCAGTTTTCTTGGCCATTGGGCTCTGAGATGCAAGAGCAGATGTGCGGTTGGGTGGTCAGCCTAGCGTAGAACCCCCAGTGTATTAGTTCGCAAGCATGCTTGGTGCTTATTTTATCGACCCACTGAAGGGATGAAAGGCCTTACCTTGCCCGAGGATCGAACCAAGGGCCTGGGGAACAACGATGCGTTACCACTCTGTCACTAGGCGTCACATCCTTAGCAGTCTAAGTATTATTTTCCATTAATTTTGATTTTCTGTCATTACTAACAAAATTCATCTATTTCAATTATTCACAATCACCAACTTCAAAATTATCTTCATAGTTTTCTATCTCACTTTTTCTAACGAAAAAATAACTATACAATTTTACGAAAATAATATTTTGTTCTATATCTAGAAAAAAAAAACTTCCTCAAGAAAAAAAAAATCAATACAGCAATATTTTTAAAAGATTTAAAATTAACTTATACTTAAATTGTTGCAGCTGACTTCTGTTCATCAAATCCTTGTGGAGAGAATGAAATTTGTGAAGATGTTTTAGATGAACCCGGGCGTGTGAAGTGTAGCTGCAAACATGGTTTCACATTTGATGGCAAAGCATGCCAAAAAGGTAATGTATGAATAAAATTGGAATTTGTAAACTGAAGATGTGATACCAAATAAAAAAAATATATATATATAGTTAGTAATTAG